TCGTTTTTTATTCTTTGGAACACTTACTTTAGCTAGACACCCCCACACTTTAAGGTATCTTAAATTTGATTTTCTACCTTTCCACAATTCATAAGGAGTCTCATCATAATTTTTATAAGGTACACGATTTAATATATAACATGCTGAAAACAAAGCTTCACCCCATAAATTATTTGCTACACCGGAACTAGAAAGCATCACATTTACCATGTCTAATAATGTCCTATTTTTCCTTTCTGCTACTCCATTAGATTGAGGTGAGAATGACAATGTCTCTTGATGAATAATTCCATGATTTTCAAAATATTCTACCATTTCAGTAGGTTTATATTCACCTCCTCTATCCGACCTTAATATTTTAATTTTCTTCTCTTGTTGATTTTCTACTTCTGATGTATAAATTTTAAAATTTTCAAATATTCTGTCTTTTGTCCTTAATAAATATATATAACAATATTTTGAATAATCATCTATAATAGTTACAAAATATCTTTTTCCACCACATGTCAAGATATTATTTAAATCACAAACATCGCTACGATTCAATTCAAGCAATTTGGTTTCTCTAACTACCGATTTAAAGGCTTTCTAGGTTGTTTTGCTTGAACACATATTTCACATTTTCCTTGAATTTTAATTTCAGATTTAGGGATTAGTTCTAAACTCGTCATTCTTTTCATTGTATTATAATTTACATGGTCTAATCTTTCATGCCACACACTTGAACATTCAACTTGATAAACCATTGAGTAAGAACTTTTATTATCACTAGGATTAGAAACAATTACATTTAACTTAAAAAGACCTTCACACAAATAACCCTTACCAACAAACAAACCACTCTTACTAATTACAACTTTATTAGACTCAAATACAACTCGATAGCCATGTTGAACTAGCAAGGACCCAATGACTAAATTTTTCCTTATATCAGGCACATGCTTGACACCATCCCATTTAAGAGTCTTTCTCGAAGTAAACATAAGACTAACACGTCCTTCTCCAAGCACACTAGTGATGCTACCATTGCCCATACTCACAGTTCTAGTGTCTGACTCCTGATAAGAGGAAAACAATGACTTATCAGAACACACATGAATATTAGCCCCAGAATCAATCCACCAATCATTTGTTTGATATATCGTATTCACTTCGGGACTATTTGAAATATACCTGTTACTAAGACCAGTCATTGAATCCCTTATAGTCACCACATTGACTTGAGACTTGGGAGTAGCTTGATGACCACGATCTCTATTTGGTTAACCCTTACGGTGGTAGCAATCTTTTGCATAATGATTGGTCTTCCCACATACCCAACAAGATTTTTGATATTTTTTATTTTTGTTCCCATATTGTTTATTGAAATTTGCATGTTTATGAAAATTTGTATTTTTGAAATTTTTGGGTTTTGGCTTAAAAGCTTGATTTTCTACTAGAAGTGCCTTGTTTTGTTTTTCTACACTTGATTTATCTTTTTGAGTCTCTCTATGTTTTTCTTCAATTCTAAGTGAAATTAGCAACTCATCAAAAGAGAATCTTTGAGGCTTTTGTTTTTTGGTATTCTACCAAACTCAAACCAAAAAGGAGGTAATTTTTTTAAATAACCCACCAACAATAAAATTTTCTTGAAAAGTCATGCCCTTCATCTTNTTTTTTAATTAACCCACCAACAAGAAAATTTTCTTGAAAAGTCATGCCCTTCATCTTTAATTCATGGACTATGTTTTGAAACTCATGGACTTGATCCATCTCAGATTTTCCATCTATCATTTGAAAATCAAAGAATTTTTCAGTGTAGTACCTCTCTAGTCCAGCATCTTCAGTACCATATTTTTTATCTAAAGTTTCCCAAAGTTCTAGTGTTGATTTAGTAGTGCAAAAAATATCATAGATAGGTTCAATAAGTGCACTAAGAATTCTGCCATGACACATGTAGTCTTTTTCTATATCAGAAGCAGATTTTGTTGACTTTTCAGAGACTAAACTTGTACTAGTTCCATCAACAATAGTTGTTTCATTAGTCTGGACTTGGGTATGTTTATTTTCCTCAGGTTGAGTAGGTGTTTCAAACACAGAAATTAAACCCAAAGTAGTCAACCATAATTTCATTTGTTGTTGTCATCTTCTAAAGTGTTGATCGTTGAACTTCTCAGGATTGCAAGAATTAGATTCAATAGTGCTCATATTTCAAATAAGAGAAACGAATAAACAAATAGAAAAAACAAGTTTGCCTACGTTATTCTAAACTTAATTTTATCTCTTCTTAGATTGTTAGAAAATTAAACATAAAAACATAGATTCATAAATTAAATAAACATGCAAATATATCAAATAAACTCAATTGAACTTAGATAAAAAATAAGTTTAGAATAGCCTGGTTTGAGGCGCGAGATGAACGTTGTCCTAAGAAGAGATACGTCCCCTCCGCACAGAGTTTTCTGACGTTCTTTTCCCAAGATACAACAATCCAAGAGAAGATACGGTGTAGGCGTGAATCTCTCTCTAACGAACTAATCTCATCCAAGTTACCCACAAAACACCCCAAAACTAGTAAATAATGAAAGAGAATATGTATATGAAAGATGTTTTTCTATATCAAAGGAAGATTGATCACATGTCTATTTATATATTAATGGATAACCATTATCCTTTAAGGCTATATATATATATATA